CCACCCCCGCTGCTTCTGCGGGGGAAGGGGAGGCTTCACCTCGAATTTTATAGCACCTCTGACCAGACCAGAAATAACTCACCAGTATGACAGCCACCAGTCCTGAAGAACATAGGAAAGCTAGGGAGGGAAACAAACAAACACAACGATCAAACACGAGCATGGCTTTTCAGCTCAAAAACTGTCACTCACTAAAATGAGTAATGGAAAGGCCCCAGAAAACAGGGAGAGTCCTTCAAGCTCAGGTCACGGTTGTGCCAAACCCCACATCCCGGAGAGCAACAGGTCAAGTAAGTGCACAGTACATTTTTAAATCTTTAAAAGGCATCCCGTTTTCCCCCCCGAGAAGTTCCTTGTGATGGACATGCGACACCAGTAGGCATCACTTTTTCCGATCCCCACAAATAGTACGTTTCAATGCAAATCCAAGTGAACTGCAAAATACAGGAATGTAGTATGAACAGATACAGTAAAAATATAAATGTTACTGTAGATATCAAGCTGAGGGCACCAAAAAACAAATGTCCCTAAGTACCTGAGCCACAATGTTGACTAGAATGAGGAGAATGATGGTGAACCAGTGAGCACCGGCTATGAAGTAATTCTTGTAGGCCTTAAGACCAATTTTTCCTTCAGAACGGCTCTCCTCGGTTACTGCAGCCTGTACATTCTCAGTCTGGGAAGGAAAAAGGCAGTGAGAGACAAAACTTTAAGTGATGCCCAAATTTCAAAAGTTCACTCCATTGGCAAAGCCGTGGGAAAACACGCACATCACATGTACTGGTAGAAGTATAAAATGGTACATCTCCTACAGAGAGAGAGGGCAAATGTGTATATGGTGTGGAAAGATCTAGCCACACCATATACACATTTGCCCTTGGACCCAGCCATCCCACTTCCTGGAATCTTTAGAAATAAGAAAGTATCATTTGCATGAGGTTATCATTGTTGTGTGTCTTTTTGCTTAATGCCATGATTTCCAGCACATGCACAACATACTGGATTCACATATAAATGCAGAAGCGAGTTCCAAAACAATATACAAAACTAGAGGCCTGGTGCATGGATTTTTGTACCGGTGGGGTCCTTCTGCCTGGCCTACAGGGACTGAACCGAAACCAGGTCTCTGACATCCCCCGAGGGGTCCCAGATTGCGAGAGGGTGGTTCTCGGGTGACACACCCCAGAATTGGGCTCCCTCCACTCTGGTTCCAGGTGCGTCACCTGAGAACTGCAGCTGCCAAGTCACTGCAGCTCGGCAGCTCCTGCATTGAGTCTGCCCCCTGGTGGTCAGTGCATGTCATAGCTACTGGTCAGACGGTCAGATGGTTGGCCAGTCACTTAGGTTTTTATATATATAGATGATAGGGAACCAATGTATCACTATTAGTGTCACTCAATAATGGAAACATGAAACACAGGAGTAGTTCAAAATATTGGCTAAATACAGTAAACTGAGTCAGAACATCGAGATGGAGTGATCAGAGTTTGAATAACAAGGGAGACTGTATGATCTGAATCAATTTGTTGTAAAGAGTGATTCCTGAGCTTCAAATGTGAGAGACTAATTCGAATACTGAATCATCCGAGTCCTGGATTTGGATGATAGGGTTCACATATCGAAGAATACAGTGCATATTTTTAAGGAAGATCTAGTGCAGTTCTGCAATTCTGTCTGGAGGACTTAGATTATAGATTCACATGATCTCACTCACATGTGGAATCTAATAAGCAAAATAAACTGATGAACAAAATAGATCCAGAGATACAGAAGCATGGAACAGACTGTCAAATCTCAGAGGGAAGACAGGGGAGGGTGTGTGGGTGGGAAGAGATCAACCAAAGAACTTGTATGCATATATGCATAACTAATGGACAATAGGGTGGTGAAGGCCTGGTGTGGGGGTGGGCTAACAGGAGGGGGAAAAAGGGACATATTTAATACTTTCAACAATAAAGATTTTTTTTTTAATCAATGCAACAGAAAAAAAAGAAAAAATAAGTAAAAGTAGCTGATTTTATGAGGGCCAAGGCAGGTCACGGTCTGAGGGGGTCTCCAAATTAAGACTCTGATTGCAAGAAAGAAGCCTGGGGCCACCAGAGCAAGTAGGATTAACCTGTGATAAACTCAAGAGTGCTAACATCAATCACTGTGAGCCACACACACCTAGGAAGTGATCGCCGTACATCCACTACTGATGTCCACAATCTCCTCCGGCCCATACCCAAAGGAGAACCCCAATCGGGCGTGCTCCCTTTGTTCTGTTTTAATTCTACAAAGCCCGTGGATTAAGGCTTTGGAACCTCAGGATCTACTCTGGGACAAATGAAAATGTCACGGGCAGAGCAGAATGAAGGTCCATGAGACCACTAAGGGCAGACAGAGCCAGGGCACGTTGCATGACGAGATACTCACAGCTTGGCTCTCTGGGGCACCATCTTTCAACGAGGGTCTAGATGACTGTTGAGACCAAATTGAAGACTCTGAGAAGGTCCGATGCCTCAGTGTGGGACTTCCTGAAATGGAAGCTTGTTCCGCCTCCTCATTTTCCTTCTTTAAAAGGGAACCAAAATCTACCCCAGATTTCAGGAACTCGGTGTAAGTCCCCTTTTGCACCATTTTACCCTAAAATAAGAATAAAGAATTTGAGATAAATCTATTTGCACATTTGATAATAATAATCCAATGTAATAACTACTCAAGAAATGTTAATTGTTCTTAAATTATGATTTTTGTAAGAAAATTATCATTCAGTCTGGAATTCTGGTTAACAAATCTAATTTAACTCAACACGGAATTGAGCATTCTCTGCTAAACCCTGTGTTAGGTGCTAGGCGATATGAAGGAAATGGGGAATCGTGTGTTAAAAGTGGTATCACTGACATAACTACCATGGCCATTTAAGGAAGCCAAAAGTATGGATGTTGGTGGGAACATCAGAAATCTTTTTAGACAACGTGGAAATTGAGATAAGTCTCATGTAACAAGCAGACTTGAAAAGAACACAGTCAATAGGGAGGATATTCCAGGAAAAAAACAACAACTTAAAATTGATGCACAAGCGCTCCTACATAGGTAAAAGTCACTCATCAAATCACTGCAGACCACAGTCACAGTGCCTGCCATGTGCCCTGCTGGTTCGAGACCTGTGGGGACTAGCCCTGGACACAACCCATGAGCTGCATCTTCATGGTCTTTACTCTAAAATTGCCCCCCGAAACTCAGGAAGTTCAATATTCCATGTGTTAAAATAATTAAACACACAGTCCAGTAGACTGGGATGGCCCTAATGCCTCAGTAGCCTCTGCAAGGAACCCAAAACCTACCCCAGGATCGATGCACTCAAATTGGAGAAAACAAAACTGAGGAACAAGCACAAGCAGCCAACTAGGCTTTCCCCAGTCAGTCAACCGCTCAAGTTACAGCCAATCAAATAATATTTTTGAACACTTGTGACACTTCATTATATAGTTTCCTGTCCTTACAAAGTTATATAAAAAATATGCAGATGTTTTCACTATTTTCTCACCCTGTGGAATAAGACTCAGCTGACTTACTCAGCAGTAAACAAATGTTGGGCAAAATCCCAGGATGCAAAACAAATCAAAGGTCAGCCCTGGTTAAGGCAGATCAGAAGGAAAAAGGCCCAGTCCTCCTGGTGTCCCCCTCATTCCATCCCCCACAAGGTGGGCCACCAAGAAAAACCCAGTGAAGCCTTGGGAAACCATCTGATACTGCAGCATTAGGAAATTATTCATGATATAGTGCTGTGTCCTGTTCCACTTGCGAGGCAAAATGCATACACCTCACTTAATGAAATTACCACTTTCTACTTAGCACCTGTGAGATGCACAGGGAAACAGCTGGTGGTATAGACACGGCAATTTTACTATGCAGCCAAGCACTGACAACTCCAACAGGGGATGGTGAGGGGTGGGGGGCAGGCAACCCCTGTGCTGTGAGAGAGGGACCAAGTGAACAGTAAGGATGAACCCAACTCATCCAGGGTGCTCACCAGTGGACAAATGTTTAGATAGTACTAATGTCGGGGGTGATGTCCTCAAAGGAAGCAATAAGTGTACCCCCAAAACACCTGGGGACTAGCTTAACAGGCTATTCTCATGCCCTGATTCTGTACTCACAATACTGCCGACACTGGGGTTATGTACCATAGTAGTTTCACCCCTCTGCCCATGAACTTAATGGTTCTCAACTTGGAGAAATCTGAGCTCCTTATCCCTGGAGGAGTGGCGAAGAGTCAACACAGGGAACTGCCTTTTTATATTCGTCCTTAGGAAAGAAATTCCAAGGCCTGTTCGAACAGAACAGACGAGGGTTAACAATGGAGGTGCTGAGGCACGAATACCAGCAAGCCAAGGAGTGATGTGCTGACCACTAAGACCTAAAAATTCTCACTAACCTCCAGCCCACCAAGCATGCTAGCTGTTTGGGGGCCACCATTCATCCCACAACAGATACGTTCAAGTCCTACACATGACACCTGTGTATGTGACCTCATTTGGAAATAGGGTCTTTGTAGATGTAATCAAGTGAACGTGAGGTCGTATTGGAGTAGGGTGGGCCCTAAATGACTGATGTCCTTATAAAGGGAAAGAGAAGAGACTCAGACAGACACAGGGACAACACCGCGTGACAACGGAGGCAGAGACTGATTTCGTTGTGGTGGCTCTAGAACAGGGGTGGGCAAACTTTTTGACTCGAGGGCCACAATGGGTTCTTAAACTGGACCGGAGGGCCGGAACAAAAGCATGGATGGAGTGTTTGTGTGAACTAACCTGCCAGCATCTTGACCGTGAGCTGTAGCCTCCAGGACGGTGAGATTAAATTTGTTTTAAGCTACCCAGCTTGTGATATTTTGCCCACGGCTGCTCTAGAAACTAATACAACACTAGACTAAGGGCATCCTTCCGTCTTCTGAACTTTACTGAGACTTCTCATCGTTTCTGCTGGCGCCTCTCCAGTGAACATCAGAGGGATCTTCTACAGTCACGCCTCAGACCACACACTCCTCTGCTCTGGACTCACTCAGCCCATCTCCCTGCTCACTTGGCCTCAGCCACACCAGCCTTCCTGCTTGTTCCTCCTAGATCAGTTCCTTCCTCAGCAGCCTGCCACTGGACCCCTTGCCCAGATGCCCTGCCCCTAGTGACTACCTGGTCAGCACCTTCATGGCACTCCGGTCCCTTGAGACACCCCCTCCTTGGGGAGGCAGCATTGACATACCCACCATCACTTTCGTCACATTTATCTATTCCCAGAAGGTTGGAAGTCCCATGATGGCAGGGACTTACTTGTCTGACAGTTTCATGGGTTCCCACATGTATCAGGCATGCAGAAAATCCTGTGCAGTGAGACTAGCAACCAACTATACCAGGAGCATGGGTGTCTCAAACCAGGGGGGGCTCGGCTACCCAACCACACTTCTGTCATTAATAGAAGACAGTCTTTAGGGAATCTGCATATAACAATCAAATGGATATAAACATGTCTTCATATCTCTGATTTCCAAAGAACATACTTCAACTTAAATCGTGGAAGAGGAAAACAAAACGTTCTAAATGAAATAGCATCATAACCCTAAAACAGTTATAATTTTTTTTTTTTTACTTTTCTATTGATTTCAGAGAGGAAGTGAGAGGGAGGGATAGAGCTCACAAACCTGGGCATAGTGCCCTGAGCAGGAATTGAACCGGGGACCCTGGTCGAAGCTCAACCTCTGAACCACACCAGCCGGGCTAAACAGTTACAATTCAGTAAGAGAGGCAGCAATGTTTAGACTTTAGGGAATATGGCTTAGGATGTAATAGTGACATTTCTGCGTGTCTTGGGATTCATCCTCAAAGGCTGGACAGAAGCTCTGAGAAGAAAGGGATGGAAAAGTGAGGAGGAAGAGCGAGTTTACCAGAACCATAAGGACAGTGACCTACTGGGAGGCCCTGCCTTCAACACGCCTGAGAGCTAGCAAGCTCTCAGACTTCTAGAAATTACTTACATCTTTCAATATCAGAATCTGACTTGCAGCTTTTAGGTACTGCAACTGGTGAGTCACTAAGATTGTGATCTTCTCATGCAAGGTTTGACAAATACACCTACAAATGCAAGAGGTACAGTATGCAAAAACACATTAATGGGTATTCCAAATTGAAAAGCATACATTCTGAAAACATAAGGGGACAAAGACAACACAGTAGTCAAAGATCTGCGGTTTAAATACAAATACAAATCAATGAAACCAACTGGGTCCTCAAATTCACCAGCAGCAAACTTGAGTCTAGCGCCACAAAGAAATTCTAAAAAGCAGTCCAGTGCAGGAGGGTAGCTAATGCTAAATGTTGTTAATTTTTTCCCACCTAAAACTCAGATTAACAATTTATGTATTTCATGCTGAAAAACAATTGAGCAATACCAGGATTCCAAAACCTGAACTGAAATACTCATTATTTTCTCCCTGTGTAGGGCTAGGAGAAAGAGGGAGCTGTGTCATATAAGAATGTGAACATTTCTCTTAGACGGCTTCCTGGGTGAGTGTTTATGATTTATGGTGTACATATTAAGCAAATGAAAGAAGTCTTAGATTCTCGGTAACCTTGGCCAGAGTGCATGTATTAGAAACTTCTTCCTAAATAATATTAGAGAGAAAAATAAATGCTAGTTGCAGCCTCGGTGGGTCCCTACAATATTCCCAGTCCCATCTGGGAGGCACATCTAGGACTGAAAACCTGCCGAATATGAAAATGAAAGAACAGAACTCAAATGGCCCAAATCACAGCGAAAATTACCCTGTGGCTCAAAGGACACGTCGATTCTTTTATGAAGAGCCATCTCAGTATTCAACGTTGGAGTTGCTGTTTTTACAATAACCCCTCAAAGTGCTCCTACATTTAAATGCAGACCCCTTGGAACTCAGACCCAGCTGCATCCTACAATGGTCTACAACCCCACCAGGTAAGCAAGTAGGGGGTAAGCAAGTAGTGACCACAGGCAGGGCTCTGGGCACACACTTTGGTTGCCTGAGTCACACACTGAGCAAATCTCAGGAACATGGCCACAATTCAACCTGCTGGACTAGGTCAGATCAAGAGTTTTGGAGGCACACGGAATGCAAAGAACCTTGATTGCCATTTCAGACCTGAAGCAGGAAAGCTGAACTGAGCAGGCATCCGTGTGGGAGATCTGATTAGGACAGACCCGAAGAACTCATGATGCAGGAGGTGGGGGTCTGGTGTACGGGACTTTCTAATACACAACAGGGGCTGTGACTACAAACAGATTCGATTGATATCATTTAACCTAAGGGTCCCCCTAACCTTCTGTATGTGACAGAATCCACTTAATGTTTACAACATATAGTTGTAAAACTCACAAACCTTAATAACCTTGGGTATATAGTCATGACTGAAGTAAACTGTTAGAGGCAAGTAAAAGTGTAATTCATTCACTTTTCATACAAAACCCTTCACATTACTAAGCTTCAACACAACCGCCATCTTTCATAGCGTATTGTTCAATCCAATTTTCTAACTCATTGAGAACATTCTGCAGCTGCTGCTGAGTGATTTTCTAAATTGCATTCGTGCTCCCTGCCCTAAGTTTCCCTAAAGAACGTGGTTCTGATTAGCAAACAACAATTTTAACAAGCTTGCTTCTATCAAGAGTATATCCAAAGTCATTAAACCCAAGAAGTGTGAGAGGACTTTATAAATGCCTGTGTTTGCAGAACTTAGGAGAGCTCTTGTGATAAGCACACTGATACTTAACAGTTAAAACCCTCCTTCTGCCCAGCCAGCGTGGCTCAGTGGTTGAGCGCCGACCTATGAACCCGGAAGTCAGGGTTCGATTCCCGGTCAGGGCACTTGCCTGGGTTGTAGGCTCAATCCCCAATATGGGGCATGCAGGAGGCAGCCGATCAATGATTCTCTCTCAACATTGATGTTTCTCTCTCCTTCTTCTTTCCTCTCTGAAATCAATTTACATAAAATAAAATTTGCCGTTTTAATCATCACCGCCATCTATCTCGAGAACTTTTCACCACTCCAGTCACTAAGCACATTTTACAGACACACTGTGGTGTATAAATGTTAAGGACCAGCCGGCCCAGCAACACATGCTTAGTGGGTGACCTCAAATCCCAGTTCCTCGTGCCCAGGCCCAGAGCTGTCTCACACTGCTGACTCTGCTCGAATCTCTTTACTTCACTAACTAGGGCCTGTTTTGAACGAAATGTGTCATTTGCCCACCTCTACCCCCAAATTCTCACAGATGCCTTAACCCCCTGTAGCTAAGAATTTGGTGATAGGACCTATAAAGTAGTGATTAAGTTAAGATGAGGACGTGAGGGTGGGCCCTGATCCAGTATGACTGGTTTCTTTAGAAGAGCAGGTTAGGACATGAGAAGAGCGACCTTGGGGGTGCA